TCATCCCAGTTCCTTCCCTTTGAGCAATTTCTTTCCCTTTCACAATATCTATTGTACCTTTTGGGTATTATTTACTCTTTGAGGTACTTACACTACGGAGATAATACAATGTTTACATATGTGCGTCAGATTTCTTTCACTTATGAGTATAATCTTGAGCCCCAACAGCTTCAGGAGCATCAGTAACCACGCCCCGCCCCCACACCACCCTCACCAGCCAAGCTGAGCCCCCGGGATGTCTTTCAAACCATGATTTTTTTTTTTTTTTAACTTCTTTCCGGTACCGGGAATCGAACTCACTACCTTGGGCTTGCCAGGCAAGCACTGTGCTGCTGAGCTAAATCCCCAGCACTCCCCCGGATGTCTTTCCATTTATCAAGATCTTTAGTTTTTTTCAATGATGCTTTACAATTTTGAGAGTATAACACTTGCAATTTTTGTTAAATTCTTTTTAAATATTTACAATATTATATTTTCATGATGTTGTAAATGGAGTGATTGTAAATAAAGCTGATTTCTGCATGTGGATCTTGTATCCTGCAACCTTGCTGGACTTGCTTATTCGTTGTAATATATTCATAGATTCCTCCTTAATAATTTTCCACACACAATATCATGTAATTTTGAATACAAATAATTTTATCCCGTCTGTTCCAACATACATGTTGCTTGTTTCTTCCTATTTATCTTAGCTAGATTCTCTAATATAATATTGAATAAAAGTGGTAAGACTAGATATTCTTGCCTTCCTCCTGTTCTGAAAGGAAAAGCACCCCTCATCTCACCATTAGCATGATACTATCTTCACCCCTTAGGAAATGCCCTTTCATTCCTCATTTGCTGAGTACTTGTTATTTGATTATAGTAACAATTAATGCTTAATTTTTAAATTTTGACCAATTTTACATGATTATATCTGGTAATCTTGACAACTACTTTGAAGACAACAATATGTAATAGAGCAGCCATTGTTGAATTCCTATCATCTTGTTTTGTGAAATACTGTATCATTTTAAAATTATTTTTTATTCTCTTTAAAATAAAAAAGTGAGTTTGTCAAATGCTTGTTCCATATTGGTTGAAATGTTGTCTTTTTTATTCTAGGAATATAATATAATACATTCACTGATTTTATAAATTAAAATCAATTTTAAATTTCTGGATAAATTCCACTTGCTCAAGGTATATAATCCTTTTCACATAGTGCTACTTATTATATATTTTATATAATTATATATCACATTCACACATACAAATATATTAAATTTATTAAATACATATTTTATGTATTGCTATTTGCTAGTATTTGATTTTTTACATTTATAGACAAGAATCTTCTTAAATGAATTAAGCTTAAATATAAGTCCTGGTGCTATAAAATTATTAGATTAGAACACAAGAAAAAAAAATAGAGTGGCACCAAAATAGTTTCAGCACAGCAAAGGAGACAGTTAATGGGTGAAGTAATAATCTACTGATTGGGAGAAAGTGTTTGCAAATTATACATCATTCAAAGTATACAATAAACTCAAACAACTCAATAACAAGACTGATAACTCTATTATAACAAGGGCAAAAACCTGAGTAAGTATTTCTCAAAAGAAAACATACACATAGTCAAGGGGTATATAATAAAAATTCAGCATCTCTGATCACTGGAGAAACACAGATTAAAACCACAGTGACATGTCACTTTCAACCAGTTGAATTGACATAAATAGAATGAAGGAAGATAACAAATTTTGAAGATGGTGGGGAGAAAAAGAAAGCTTCATACACTGTTGACAGTACTGTAAATTATTACAGATGTTTTGGAAACAGTGTAATAATTTCTCAAAAATCTAAAAACAGAATTACCTTTTGATCCAGCAATCTTACTATTGAGTATCTAATGAAAGGAAAGGAAGTTAGTGTGCCAAAGAGATGTATGTACTTTTATGTTCACAGAAGCGTTATTCCTAATAGCCAATAGATAGAACCAGCCAAAGTGTTAGATAGAAGAGTTCAGCTCTTGTACCTAGATTGTTAAATGAAGTGATTGCTAAATGAGAAATAGTACATAGTATGTGCATTATAATATTCAGAACACAGAAGTCATCAAAGGAAATTCCAAAATGATGACTTTGCTTTATTTGTAGAATTCTTACACGCAGTAATGTAATGTATAACAGAACATAAAACTACAGTATTGTACTGTGCGGTACAGTATAATTAGCAAAAATTGTAGTACTATATTAGCAAAGTATACTACACAAAAAAAAGACATTGAGGCTTTATAGTAAGATGTATAGATCTATACAAAATAACCCGTGGGTCCTAAGCCCCAGCAGTGGGTACTAAGTCTGACAGTCACTAAACAGGTAGGTCATTAAATGAAGAACATTTATAAATATGTATATATTATTCAGTCCTTAAAAAGGAAAAAATTTCTTTTATTTGTGACAACAGGATAAACCTGGAGGACACTGTGTTAATTGAAATAATCCAGGAAAAAAGATAAAAGCAGCATTATCTCACTTATGTGTGGAATGTTTAACTGTTGGACCCATGAAAGTAGAGAATAGAACGGAGGTTTTAAAGGTGGGGGAGGGAAGCGGTCAGGAGTGAGGAGATGTTGGCCAGTGGGATTACAGAGCTGCAGTTCAACTGGAGAAATAGGTAGCTGTGGTATTCGATTGCTCAGTAAGATGACAAAGCAGGTATTCCACAGTACTTCAAAAGAGCTTTTAAAAATTTTATTTATTTACTTATTTTTATTTTAAAGAGAGTAGTACATGAGAAACAAACAAATAAAAAAATAGAACAGTACCAGCATACCAGTTTTATGAACATAAACAAATCAAAGAACATTCAAAGTGATACAGGGTCTCAAGACAAATTAATACAAATCAACAGTGGTTGTTACATTGCACATCACTATCCTCAACTACATTGCTCAGATTATCAGATGTAAGAATGAAAGACTGTTTAAACCATTAAAGAGAATAAGAAAATAATTCTTCGATAAAACATTAGAGATAATACAGTTTCACTAGACAAGATGGTAAGAGTTCATCATATGCAGTAATTCCACTGCATATTGTTACCTTCAGATCAGTTGCTCAGACCACCAGACACGAGCATGCAAAATCGATCAGAACATAAAAAATTTTGAGCATTAACTGTTGCTTTCAATACACCATCAGACACCAGCAATACAGTCATCATAGCTTGCCTTCCTTTTTTCTTTTTTCTTCTTTCCCTCATCCCAGTTGTTCCTTCCTTTGAGCAATTTCTTTCCCTTTCCT